GGTAATGCAGAAAAGATGTCAGGTGCTAACCAGAAACTCAGCCGTTAGAACCCACCAACCACTCAGCTGCACCAAGACGTGGCCTTTAGCTTCCCCAAAGATTTACAGCTTCAGATACCCCAGAGAGCAGCTCTTCTCTGTCCTGTAGGGTCACTATGAGTTGGGATTGCCTCGATAACAATGGATTTGGCTTTGGGTTTTATAGTTGAAGGATTCTCTGTGTTCCCTTTAGGAAGAATGGAAGCTAAACGTAATGACATTGAATTGATTCCGACACAGGGCAACCCCCTGTGTTGAAGAGTAGAATGGGTCTCTCACTGGCTGTAATTTTTATGGAAGCAAATTGACCAGCCTTTCTTCTGCAGCACCACTGAGTGAGTTCAACTGCCAGTCATTTAGTTGTGGCTGAGCATAAACCAGTCCCCCCAGAGAGACCTTTTAAACAGAATAGAAAGAAAAGAAATCGAGAAGCGGGAAGGCTCTCTGAGTTGGGTGGGAGGCAGTTTTGTGTTGCACACAGGACTGCTGAGAGGCCAGAGCAGACTTGGGTCTACCAAGAGCAATAGCTAAGAGGGTGTCCCGGGAGGTCTCTAAGTTCCAGGGTGCATTCCCATGCCAAGTGCTGGCCTCTGTCCATGGGTGGGACTCCTCTGCCTCCTGGCAGGGCTTGGGCTCTGTGTCATCCTCCAGGGCTGGCAGATCATCCCTTAACTGGATGCTCAGGGCCCAGGGAGGAAGGACATGGGCCTTCTTCACTTCTGCCAAGCTCCTGGGGAAGGGTTCCAGGGGTAGACCAGTCACCTGAGAAATATCCTAAAGTCAAACATCAGAAAGAGGTCTTTTATCAAGGTCAGAATGTACACTTAAGAGTTGGAAAAGTGGCTTTCAATTTTTAGTGCACTAAGAGTCACCACAATCTCTCTGCCAGCTTGTCAGGCTGTGGTTGATGGCTTGCAGGATGGTGTGCTGCTGGAAGCTATCATGTCCATTTTTCAAAAACCAGCGGGGCCACCATGGTGGCGACAAGTTTCAGAACAGCTCTTAGTCTAAGATAGACTAGAAAGAAGCACCGGGCAATCTACTTCTGAAAATTAATCAATAAAAACTCTGTAGATTACAACAGACTAGCATTGATCCAGTGCTGGAAGATGCATGGACCCCAGCAGTCCTGGGTCACAAAGGTGGTGTGTTCTGATGTGCGCGCAGTGCCGCTCTGAGGGAGCACCTACGAGCCAGCCTGACCACCACCACTAAAGAGCCATCCGGAATGCTTGTTAAAAGCGCTGCCTGTCCTGCGCTGCGCCCCACTCTTCAACAAGCTTCCAAACAGCAACTGGGAAGGGAGGTGCAAAATGCACATCATTTATTTATTTATTTTTCATTTATTGTGGCCTTTTCACTAAACTATCAAAATACAGAAGAAAAGCTGAAAACACAATGACTAAGAACCCATTCTTTCCATCCAAAGACCACATTCCTAACAAGGGAAAAAGTAAAAGTGGCCCAAGACCTGTATTCTGTGGTGGAATGCACATACGTGCCCACAGGGATTCCCTGTGGGAATCTTGCCAAAGCCTCTCTTTATCTGTCTGCTCCTATGATTGGAACACCCCTTTGGAAACAAGGGTTCTAGGGAAGCACTTTTGTCTGTGGTAACCTACATGAGCCTGGAAGGCCCAGAGCTGCCCTGAGGGACTGGAACAAACTCCTGGCCTTGTGGGTGAAGGGTGAAGCTGGACCTTGAAGCAGACTGCTGTGTGGCACTCAGTGGCGCTCCGTGTGGATGTGGATGTGGCAGGCATCGTGTTTATGGAGCTATCTTGCAGGAAGAAAATAGTGAACACAGCAGTTATATGCATAACTGCAGTTAATTATTATGTTGTGGATGTATGGTTAAACTTGATAAAGATTAGCGTGCAAAAACTCTTATTAGAAGTTCCCTATTATTTGCCATTATTCACCACCGTGGCTATGCTAGAGGAGTCTGCTCATTCATCCACATAATACATTAAAATAAAATAAACAGGGTGTCTGTATTGTGCTAGGAGATGGGGGCTGGCCAGTGCAACAGCTGCCCTGGCTGCTCCACTCTATGACAACGAGTTTTTGAATAACTAGAATCTTTACATATAAATAAACATGCTCATCAAAAGGAAAACATTTCTCTGGCCATATATTGCACTTTTTGGCGTAAGAAATTCCTTCCAGGGACGACTTTTCTGGGGACTTGACGAGGGATAGCAAGAGAAAGTCACAGTTGGCTTGTAGGGTTTTGTTTTGTTTCGCAATTTTTATTTTTGTCCTTGAGTTGACTTCACTTCTATATAATGTTCCAAAGAATCATTGATTTACATTTTTCTTCCCATGATATCTCTGCACCCACCTCCCTTCCACACGACGCCATGGTTAAAAAGATAAAATACCCAGGTGCTTCAAGCACAAATGCACCTTCAGGCAGCATCCCCATGGTGTAAACACCTGGTGTCGGGCTGTTTCCATGTACCTGTGTTCATGTTACTGGCCTGGAATCTGTGTGCTCCAATAGTCCATGAGAGAATAAATCAATACGAAATGATCGTCGTCAATAATCTGGGCTTCCTGTTTCACAGCGTTGCAGGTGGCGAGCTGTTTGACTTCTTAGCTGAAAAGGAATCTTTGACTGAAGAAGAAGCAACAGAATTTCTCAAGCAAATTCTCAATGGGGTTTACTACTTACACTCCCTTCAGATCGCCCACTTTGATCTTAAGGTATGTTGCGGTGTTATTTGTAAGAAAAAAAATGGTGATGTTAAAGAAACATCCGAAAGATACTTTTTCCCTGCATGAATTTAACAAATGGAATTGTTAATATCAGTCCACAAGCCAGTAATGCATGCCTCTGCAGGGAGTTTCTACTCTTCCCCTCATCTTTTCGGGGTGCAAGGTTGAAGACTACTGATTGCCTCTGGACGGTGTGGTGAAGGATCAAGGGGACCTGCCAGTCTCTAAGGCAAAGACCTGCAGTTGGTGGCTAGGACACCTTCAGCCCACCATGGCCAGAGGCAGGCACAGTGATTACACTGGTGATGCAATGGGTTAAACACCTGGCGGCTAACTACAAGGCCAGTGATCCAAACCCAGCAGACAGTCTGAAGAAAGACGATGAGACTGTCTATTCCTGTAAAGACTTATAGGCTCAGAAACCCTAAGGAGCTATTCCACCCTACCTTAAAAAGTCGACAAGAGAGTCTGAATCAATTCATTGGTAGTGGGTTTGGAGATGGCTTCTGGAGGGCTCCACCCATGTGGCACAGGTGGCCTATGATGGGTGACTAACCTAGACCTTGGTAGTTTGAACCCTCCCAAAGACAGCTTGGAAGAAAGGCCCAACGTTCTGTTTCTGTAAAGTGGCAGCCAAGAGGATGCTCCTATGGAGCCATTCCACTCTCTAGCCCTGTCTGTCTCTGCAGTTCTTGGGCAGGTGACATAAAAGGTGTCTTGAGTTATGCTCTCCTTCTGGGCCTGACCCTGTCAGCAGTCACAGTCAAGTCCAACTCTGAAGTTGGCTAACTGGGAAAAGGCATGATGGGAGATAGAAAGGGGTGGAGTCATCCTCCCAGCTACCAAGCAAACAGAAGACATAAGCATGTGAAACAGGAAGTGGCGCTGTGAGAGATCGCAATTCAAGACTGTGTGAAGAGATGTCACCAGGGCAGGTAATCGATGTCAGATGAGTGATTCCATCATTGGTACTTGGCTCTGGCTTCAGAGCAGGCAGGGGTTCTCCATACTTACTGTAGGTGTAATGTTAAGACCCCTTCGGAAGATTTGGCCATGGGTGGTGGTTGCATGTGATTAATGCCGTCCACATCGCTAAATCATACGTGTAAAACATGCTGAATTGTCAGTTGTGTTAAATGTACTTTTTAACACACACACACACACACACACACACACACACACACACACACACATCTCCTGTCTAGTTTATCCTCTCAACACTCATTCATGTGCATACACCGCAAAAGGTGCTGACTGCAATTGCCTACAACTTTCTGCCTGACATCGTTTTTCTGGCCCTAGAAACTAAAGACTAGATGTTCACACAGTGGTTCTCCACGGGAGGAGGGGCAGAATGGTTCCATTGGAACCATTCCAAGCTCGACTTTTTCTCCCCAAGTTCCTCAGAGGGCTCGCACTCTGGTAACCCACACATTACATTAGCTCCCTTCTGCCCTGTCCTGTCCCCTCATTGCTGCCTGCCACACGTACCACTCATGCCTGCGTCCTGAATCTGCTTCTGCAAAACCCTAAACGTTCTTAGAGAGGGGTTCATATCCATCTGCCATCCTTGCCCTCACCATAGCCCATCTCATACCTGGTTCTTTTTCTTCTTTTTTAAAGCCTGAAAACATAATGCTTTTGGATAGAAATGTCCCCAAGCCTCGGATCAAGATCATTGACTTTGGGTTGGCCCATAAAATTGACTTTGGAAACGAATTCAAAAATATATTTGGGACACCAGAGTTTGTTGGTAAGTTTCTTAGATTTCTCCTAAACATGATGCTGCACAATTGCTCTGTGTAGGCCCATCTACCCGGTTCCGGTTTCTGGTTTGGGCACGAAGGTAGAATCTGGTGATTTGCTTCCTTCGCAGCTAAGTATGTGTTTGTGCCCCCTTAGCTCCTGAGATCGTCAACTACGAACCCCTTGGTCTCGAGGCAGACATGTGGTAAGGAGCATCTCTTGGTGGTGTTATCTCTGTGGTCTCTTGGACAATTCTCCTGACATCCTGTGTTTCTGTGTTTGTGTCTAGGAGCGTCGGCGTCATAACCTACATTCTGTAAGTACCCAAATCCCACAGCACATCTCCTTACCCTTTTCCTTAGGAGTCCATAGACGGCATTAACCACTGAATGAGGCAAGCCCATCTCCAGCGCTCACATGTGATTTTCATGTACACATTCTCATTTTACCTGCCCACCCCCACATTTTGTTAATACCGATTAAATGTCTTCTCCTAATTCTAAATGATTCATCCTTGCGTGGAAGATCGCGTGGCTGCTGAGAAAAGAGGGGTTTTAAGTACAAGATGCTTTTCCAAGTGAATGTTATTGTTCTCCATTTGTTTTTGTATTAAACAAGCGAAGTAGATCTACATAGCACACTTTGGGACACAAGGGTTCTTCGAAAAGTTCATGGACTAAGGGAATTAAGAGATTGTAAAGCAAACCTCTGTGCAAACTGATGGTCTATATGCTTGACTTTGAATTAGGTGGAAGTTTACAGAGCAAATCAGCTTTCCACTCAATTCGATTGGGATTCTTCGCAGAGCACTGGGCAGTGGTAACCGGAGAACCATCTGGTTCTGCTGGTCTTAGTGTCGTGGACAAAATTAAATTTTTAAATGAATCATTTGCATTAAGCTAATGATTTACTCACAACAGTCTTAAAGTCTTCTATATTGTAATCTAAGTTTTAAGTACCTGTCAGCAGGCCAGAATGTAGCTGTGGTTCGTAGTCTACTTTTCAGTTATTACAGGAACAAAATGGCAACATGAGAAATATTGATAAGTGTCTGTGCCCTCACTTGATCTTTGACAGCTTAAGTGGGGCCTCCCCATTTCTTGGAGACACGAAACAAGAAACCCTCACGAATGTATCTGCTGTCAACTACGAATTTGAGGAAGAGTACTTCAGTAATACCAGTGCCCTAGCCAAAGATTTCATAAGAAGACTTCTAGTCAAGGATCCCAAGTGAGTGTGTGTTATTCCTAGGAGGTACTGCCCCAGCCTCGGCTAGCTGAGTCTTAGCACTCTTCTGCACATGTGACCGCATTCATCAGCCCCTCGTTTCTGCCCAGCCAAAGGAAACCCTTCATAAATTGCAGTATCCTGGCCCCCTGCTGCTGAGTCTCTGTAGACACGGTAGCTTCATTACAAACATGTCCACGTGATGGCCTATGTCCCCAGCATTTGTCCTCCCTTCTTCTTCTACCCTTTACAGAAAGAGGATGACAATTCAAGATAGTTTGCAGCATCCCTGGATCAAGGTAAATTGCCTTTCAGATTGCTCAAGTGATTAACTTGGGTCTTTTTTTTTTTTTTCTTCAGAATTCAGTTGGTTTTATTGAGCATGTTACAACGGGGGGTTTAGTCAAAAAGACCAAAGCCCAGGTCGTCATCAGACTCTTCTTTCTTGGCTTCCACTGTCTTCTCCCAGCTGAGGCAGTCATAGTGGAAGGTGCCGTCTTTCGACTGCTGCGGCACCAGCAGCTGGGGCAGAGCCACCAGGCCTACGTTACGTATGCAGCTCCCAGAGTTGACCTTGGCCAGGGCCTTGGCTACCAGGCCAGGTCAGAAGGGCTCCACCCGTCTTAATGGGATTGTTGATCTTGTCCTCCGTGACGGTCACCTCATCACCATGCAAGATGAGGGCCGAGTAGATGCAGAGGCCAGGGTGTGGGAGGCCTGGCCTGGCTGCTGCCAAGCACAGTGCTAGTCGCTGGATGAAATGAGGGCCTCACCCCAACACAGCCTTAGCATCCTCAGGAGAACTGAGCTCCTTCGCGGCAGCTGAAAAGAGTGTGATGACCTTGAGCCTTATCGCCAAAAACAAGACCAGTCACCATGGGGTCATTTCTGACGCACAGCGATCCGAACGTGGCAGAGAAGAACGGCTCCTCGGGCTTCCAGGGGCTGATTTTGTCATGGGTTCATTGCCAGGTCTTTGTTTTGAGGCACCTGTGAGTTAACTTGAACCTCCAACTTTTTCTTCAGGAGCTGGGCATGCTGTCCATGCAACACTGGAGTGTTATATGGCTTTCTGGCACTCATTTGTCCTGAGAGTGTTACAAGTTGCTCTGGCTTTTAGCATGCAAGGCCCTGGCACATCTGGGGTGTTGTGTTTACTATTGTGCCATATTATACGAAAACAGAAAAATTGGCAAGTATTTTAATGATAATTGAGGTGGAGAGGAGTGAAATGTTATGGTGCAGGCTTTATAAATGGGAGGCCTCAAGGTCAAGACCTGCAACAGCCATGTTTGGTATGACCTTAGAAGTGTTGCCCAAATTGTACTTTACATTTTTTTTAATATTATCTTCTAGCATTTAAATATCACAGAAATCCAGACTTCCAGTTTCTCTTGAAAAATCTACCACCACCAAGCCTTACTTCCTCACGGCCTAGAAGCCCAGCAGGGCTGCATGTGTGCTTAGGGCCTGTGGCACATTAGCTCGTTGTATACTGCTGGCCCTGTCGGCATATAAAGAATCCAAAATTGCTTTAGCCAAAACAGAAAGCTCCAAGGGTGAGAGGATACGAGAGTTGGAGACTAAAATAATGGAACTAATAAGTAGACATTCCAGAAGCAGCTTTAGACAGCAAGACCTTTCGTTCTTGTTTTCACCTGTGTGGTTTCCAGCATTTATCTGGAGTTCTGGTGGTGAAGTAGGTTAAGCGTTGGGCTGCCGCTGCAAAGTCAGGAGTTTGAAACCACCAGCTCCTCTGAGGGAGAAAGACGAGGCTTTCTATGCCCACAGAGGGTTACTGTTTCTCAGAAACCACAGTGCCTGCTCTACTCTGTATAGGGTTGCTTTGAGTCAGAATTAACTTGATTTCCTAGAAAGCAATGGTGACTTCCTCAGGTAGGCAGAACTCTGAGATAAAGGACTCCCAGAGGAAGACGCATTAATGGATTCTAATAATGGGGACAGTGGTGAATCCATGGCAGAATCTTGGTTTGATTCGAGCCCAATGCACCTCTTCCATATGCAGTCACCACCTGCCTAGCCGCAGAAGCTTAACACAGCAAGACCCTGGGTATGGAACTCAGTGTGTTCCAAATCTGTTCCACATTTGTGTTAGGACACAGAAAAGTTCAAGAACTGAACATATTTTTCCCGTAAGAAATAATGTAAAACCTAATCATTGATTCTAAGGCCCTAAAATTACACTAAGAAACTCATTTTCCCAGGACTTTATATCACTATGGAGACTTTGAGCCATCTCACATATCACTGTTTCGGAAATGCTATTGCCATCAAATTGTTTCTGATTTATCCAAGTGAACAGCAACTTTCCAACCTCTTCGATGATCTGGGTTTTCAGTTTCATGGTTAACAATTGCACACCTTTCACTGTAATAGCCTCTTTAATCACATTTATTATGTTTAGTGTTGATGTCCACTTAGCCATGTTGTATTCAGCAGCCAAATCAGACAAGTAGCAGCTTGACTCAAATTTCTCAATGATTTATTTATTTAACTCAACTGTGGTTCTCACAGTTTCTGCTTAGCTTTCCTGCTGGTACCACTCACTTTCTTTGGAGCCCTGGATACAGTATTTTATGTCAATAAAGCACGGAAACCACAACGTCGGGATGTGTGGGACACACTAACACCGCTCTCAGCGTTGTCCGAGAGCAGCAGTGGGACGGGAGTGACCGAGGCCTGACCCAGGCAGGCCTGGCTCTCAGGCAGGTCTCTCTGAATTGGAGTTTTGGTTCAACTTTCTAATACATCGACCAACACCGAGCAGACTGTTTTTCCAACTTTGCTGTTCAGGTAGTGGAAAGTCTGTGTTTGGAGCTGGCCGACAACCCCTAGGTATCACTGTATGTTGCTAAAGATCTGTGATCTGCTTCCCACAAGTCAGCCAGTACAAACCCTAGCAAACGCAGTGGTACGATCCCCAACAGGCATGAGCTTGGCATAGGGCCAGGTAGCACTTTGTTCCTTTGTGCATGAGATTTCCATAAGTTGAGGCCTGCTCTATAGTAGCTAACAGCAAAACCACCATACTATGAGGGTAGGTCAGACGTACGGACTGACCTCCGAGGTTCCCCCTAGCCACTGGGTTTTATCCAGTTAAGATGTCTCTTAACATGACTTCATTGTGAATCTTGCTTTCTCAAACTGCCACTGGTGAAAGTTAGCGCTTAGCTGCACTCTCAGTTCAGTGTTTCCCCCTCCCCAGTACCCAGTCTACAGATCTCAAACCCTCAGCACAGAGTGCGAGCCCCCTGAGACTGGGGTTCCTAGGTCACGTGCGCCATCCCACTCGTTAGGTCAATGAGGGAAGCACGTGTGCGTTCTTCGCAGACTGAATCATGAGAGGTTTCCCCAAAAGTTTTCATGGAACGTAGTGCTGTAATTTGAGCGTTCTCATGTATTTATTTTTCCCTTGGACTTTCATTTTAGCCTAAAGATACTCAGCAAGCTCTTAGTAGAAAAGCGTCTGCCGTAAACATGGAGAAATTCAAGAAGTTTGCAGCCCGAAAAAAGTGGAAAGTAAGATATGTGATGTGGCGGGATTGAGAGATTCTGCTTCTTCCGTGGATCGCTGTCTGTCCGTCTGCCAAGGTCCTTCTTTGTGAATCCTGGCAGTGGAGGGGCTCCCTCCATCTGGTTGGTTGCTTCTTGGTTTTAGTTCCCTGTTAGTTTTCTGCATCACTACTCAGTTTTCTGAAAGAGGTGCAAACAGTATTTCAGCCCTATTAACGCCTCTTTTCAAATGTAATTTTTTGTTTAAAAACAAAACAATTTTAAGGGCAAATGTGGAATTCAGCACATTAAAATCACAGTGAAGCCTTCCTAAGCACAAGGAACCAGATTTTGAATGAGCTTGTTTTTGTGACCAGCAACCTGGTGTTAACATTTACCCCGAACTGCGGAAGAGCTTCTCTTATCTATATGAGGGGTCTGCATGAAATGGGCATGGAGGGGGGGGTACTGTGTGTTTGCTCTGTGGCCCTTGGACTGACTGCCTCAATTTGTCAACCTCAGCAGGGACTGTGGCTGCATACCAGCTGCTCATGGGGTGAGCAAAAAGCACACTTTGGGGTTAGGAAAGCAGTAGAATGGCTTTCCATGCTCAGGGTCATGTCAAATCGTGGCATCCCTAGCACTGAGTCAGAAATAGAGCTCCTTGCCTTACTCAGCTGGTGTGTAGCATGTGGCATGATAGGCATGAGAACCATCGTCCCAGAGGACTTGACTTCTCTTAGAATATGCTCATTAAACACATGCCCAGTCAACACATGCACACTCTTTAAGTGTCGCCTCTGTCTTTGAATATGCACGGGGAGGCCCTTGTCCTATAGACTGAGGGTCCCCTCGCTGAGGTTTTCCCTTAAGTGTGTGAGGCGTCATAGTCACATTAGGTAGTACTTCCCATGTGCCCGTTGAAGCTTCCGAGGTACAAAGCACACAGAGCAAGTCCGGTGTATGTCAAGGGCTTGTTCAAGGTATGGTCACCTGTCCCTAAAAGTATAGAACAAAGTCATGGGAGAGAGGTGACCTGGGGCATCGGATTCTGTGATAGGAAAGTGAGATCTTGATTTATGAGGCTTGTAACAATTATGATCCTGCCTGCCTGTGGGGCTGCCCACCCTGGAGAGTGGGTGCGGGGAGCAATGAGGGCCGCCCCTAAGGCCGTGTCATCTGTACTAATTTGAGGATTGTTACATAAGCCCCTTCGCCTTCTCTGCCCCACCTTCTGTCCTCTCCCTTTGTTCGGTTCTGTTTCTGTTTTTCAAGCAATCCGTCCGCCTCATATCACTGTGCCAACGATTGTCCAGGTCGTTCTTGTCCAGGAGTACCCTGAGCGTGGCCAGAAGCGACGACACTCTGGTAAGCCAGCCTGTGTGCCTCGGCGGGAGTGCCCTGCTTAGCACTGTCGGGAAGATGTGTCAGGCT